CTTCTCTTTCATTTCTCATTGCTGCAAAAAATGTAAATTTGAATAATTGTACTTTAGAAATGCTTTTTATCATCAAATTCAATGAAAAATTCAATGCTTTTTCTTATTAAAATATTTCATGACATTGAATAAGTCTACCTTATTGTAACTTTCCTAGACTGAACACACCTTCATTCAATTTTCGTTCAATTTCAATAAATGCTTTGCTTTACTTTATAACAGTGCAGACGTGGTCAGATGCTGTACCGACAATCGCACATTATTTTGAAGACAAGTATCTAGATAAGGGTAAATGTTGACAATTTGAAATGTCTGCTATAGTATACTAGATGACCAGCACTATCAAAATATATAAAGATGAACAAAATTAGATTTAACTGAATGACCCCATTATATATTTAATTGTACAACAATACTGCATGTAGTATTCATCAGTCTTATTATGTATAAACTACTGTATACTTATTGGGTTCAACTTTTTTGTAACAACATAGGTAAATAATTCTCTCTATTATTATCAGTAGGTGAAACTATAAACACATACATATTACTAAAGTTATCCCATGATTTGAAAAACAATTGATCTAGTGACATTAACTTGAGTAATAATTTCTAGGTGTAGCAGTTTATGAGATGCATAGGTCACCAATACAAAATAGAACATATTCCCCTTGGGCAGTTAAAAAGGTTCTGAAAGAAAAGGAGAGTGGAATAGTGGAGTCGATGGAAAAAAGATTACGATTTGAAGCAGAAATTCTTCGAAAATTAAAACATCCAAATATTGTCGGATTTAGAGCAATTAGCAAAGACGAAGATGGTAATAGTGCTTTGATAATGGAGGAATGCTCCAGCTCTCTGGGCGATATGATTGAAAACAGACTGGATCATCTGGGTGAAGTACCATATTCACCAAATACTATATTGAAGGTGCTTCGAGACATATCAAAAGCCTTGGATTATCTTCACAACACCGCCTTGTTGTTGCATGGAGATATGAAATCATTCAACGTACTTATTAAAGGAGACTTCATTATTTGCAAGTTATGTGATTTTGGAGTATGTTTGCCTTTAAACAAATCGGGACAACTAGATAAAGAAAGGAATACTAACCAATCTTTTTATAGTGGTACTGATGTTTGGAGTGCTCCAGAAATATTAAAATTTCCCCAAGAAGTTACCTCTAAAGCCGATATTTATGCATTTGGTTTAATCATTTGGGAAATGATTGCCTTATCACCACCCATTGACGATGATTTGATGATGAATTTGGATCAGTCTGCAGAAGACTCTTCAAATAGTATTACAGAATTCGACCGAGAGCGCCCACCCTTGCCTGATGTTGACTTAGGAACAGAATATAATTTGGTACTGCAAATATATTATTGCTGTACGGCTAAAAATAAGGATGATTTGCATGAATAATGTTGCATCAATGTAATGCAACCCTTATTCTTCACCTTCATGTGGTGAGAGATCATAACATAAGAGTGCAGCTGAAGCAGTGACTAGAGAGTGATCACCTTTTTTTATGTTCATTAAAAAACTTTCTTATGTTTCTAGCAAATTTATATCCTCTTGATTTTGACAGACAAATGACGTATCCTCATCTCTGCATTATTATTTTTTCACACCATATACAATAAAAAATGTTGAGAGTAATTCAAGGCCAGTTTGAAATCCAAATAATTCATCCACACTCATCCTTCCTAAGTATTCCATAACATTGTCTATTTGAAAACTAATATTCTAGATAAATTTTTGATCAGAGTGGAGAATAAAATGAACCTGCCTTGAAAATAAATAATTTCTTCATAAACCTATACTATTTCCAAAATCAAAAAAATTCAAATACCTGCGCGGTTCCTCATATTGGGTAAATAAGGAGACATTAGTTTTCAAAAGTGAAAATCCAGTATAATAACAATAGTTTTATTCTTACTTAATAATACATAATATTTACAAACTTAAATTAGAATTTCTTCAAAGTTCCTGTTCAATTTCAAATATTCTGGTTCCTGCCAAGAATGCTAAAAGCATGCTTAACAATAAAATCAGATTTTGGGTTCTTCCACCAAAAAAATTTGAACCAGGTAAGGATATTTTGTTCATCTGATTGTATTTTCCAGCAGAAAATATTTGAGTACATTATGATATAGACCAGCGTTTATAAATTACATCATTTACTAGATAATGATGGAAAACCGACTCTTCGGATATATAACAAAGAGAATTATTTGTATTAATATCTCAAAATAAAAAATATCGATGCTTGAGAAAGCTTCTTTTCGATTTTCAATGCCATCTTTCTGTTAATACTCTGTTGAAACTTTGGGATGTGCAATATTGATTTCTTTTTATAGCTGATCTATAAAATGAACTTCAAATTTTTCAGACTTCACAATTGAAATTGGCGGTACCTATGAAAGACGCCCTCTAGTAACGATTAATTGTTACCAGTAGATTTCTGAATATCTTCATTGACAGCGTAATCAGGTTCACTACCTACGTTGGAATCATAATACGCATAATCATAACTAACATCCTTCGTTTTCTTAGGGTTCAGCGTTGGTTTCTTCGACTCAACTGGTTTCGGGCTGGTCTTGGGTAGTTCTGTGACTTTCGAAGTCACCGAGAAAGGTCTGGGAGAATCGTAACTCCTTTGAGTCTGAGTGGAAGGCTGCTGTTTGGTGCTTTTGGCTAATTCATTTCTGCTTGCTGCGATATTTTGACTGTGAGCCGTTTTCAAAAATTCGTCATCTTTTTTGTCGCCGTCATAGTCATATTTTGTGCTGTATGAACCGTCGTCGTATTGAGTTTCATCGAAACGACTTGATCTGAAATGTTATATAGTGTTTTAGATGTTACAAAAGTGAGAAATTGCATTGAGAATCATCAGATTGTATTGTTGGAGGCAATAATTCAGTTAATCATAGTATGATTTTACAGCTGAGAATTCAAAAATTTTTGCTCAATGAGAAACTATTCGAAGGAGAATTTGAATGTTAAATATTCACACCAAAAAAGATAAGGATATTTATACTGAAAACATTTTATAACTAAGATATCGAAGGCATATTGTCAATTCAACAATAAAATTAAAATTGAAGAAAAATAAATAAAAATCATTGATTAATTGCTGAGATAGTAAACGATAGTGCCTGCTATAATAGTGAAATGAAAATGAATAATAACAACAACAAAAATCTCTAGGAAATGTATAAAACACAACAACTGAAAACAAAAGAATCCTGATGGAAACAAAACAATTCACAAGTTGAAAATTCTAGAGTTGGCGGTGGGGACTAAGAAGTTTATTCAGGTCAAAATATCCCTGAATATGAAAGATATCTGTAAAAATATGGAGATGAATAACCTTCAAAATAAGATATCCAAGAAAGATATCAATAAATCCAAGTGGACTGGAAATGAATATTATTCAAAAGATATATTCCAATCCCGAAATTTTTTGTATTATTATTTTTATTCAATAGTTAACTTTTTTAGGGATTGAATGGAACCCGATGATACTAGATGAACATCTATAATCTCAGCATGAAAATTGTATCCAGAACAAGCACTGTTCCAAAACACCAGAACTGCAACACTATTCTCGACGGGCGTTTCACCAATCAAGTTGGCGTCTTCAGAAGTTAAAGAAGAATAATTCCTAACTGTAAAACTGATCACTATTTATATTCAACAGTGTGCACTTTTGCTTTCCGACAAACATAAATGATTTCGGATAAAATTTGTGCAAAATGTTTTCATGAAAGTTGCCTCTAGTTTCAACAGAGCGATTTATATAAAGGTAAATAATGGATTGTTTGGAATTGAACTATGGCCATTTTTCATAGTTTTTTTGCCAAACTTTGCTATCTCCAGAATTTCGAAAGCATCATGTCATGTTCTGATCTCAATAATTTCAGACAGTTTTCATTCATTCTACGGCGTTCTGATCTGAAATCTCATATATGCTGAAACAGGTATTAATAGTATGGCCGATATATATTTTTTATGACAGTTCTTAATGCTTATTACATTTATCCCAAACTTCATTTCCCAACATTTTGTTACCCCAAACTTGTTAAAGTGGGCAAGAAATTTTAAAGGCTACTTTCAACTTCTTAAAGTTTTCCACCTATTGAGAAAATGCAGTCTAATCCGTTAGTGTTTCTTGGTTTATATGGAAGGGCAATGAACTTCCAAGCGGTAGATTGGGGTGGACATTTCTGTTCATCCCCAGCCACCGCCTAGATTGAGGTGAGCACTTCTGACTTATCTAGAATACTCGAAATAAGTTTCCATTTGATTTCTATATACTGATTGGAAATTTGTTGAATCACTACATGTCTATGGTAAAAGTGATATAAGCGAAATGAGCCCCAGAAAAAATATTGGTGTTGATGAAGTCGGTCAAGTTTGTATTTTTTTTCAGAACATTTTTTCATTTGCAGATGATAAAGTTCACGATAAATTCAAGTAACACTTCATTGCGAGATTTTCACTGTTCAGTGCTTACCAACAAATTTTTAAATACAATCAAAACGATTATGCTTTCCAAACTCATTTTTGTGTATTTATTTTTTTTATATTACTGAATTATTTGAAAAACGTGCCTCCAATCCAATGTGGGTTGTTTTTGGAAAATTCCAGTATGGAATGTGTGCAAATATTGATATTTATCACCTAATAAATAATATCTCACCTGCTTACTGGCGTTGTGGAACTCAACTTAGGAACTGTTGGGGTATATTGCGTAAAAGGCGAACTTCTAGGAGTACTATTTCTCGCTAATTGACCGAAACCTGTAGATTGGCCATATTGGGTAGTTTGATCACTCGATTTACGGTTATAATTGATAGTCTGCTGAGCTATCTGAGTATACCCAGCGTTGGTCCTTGGTGCAAAAGTAGTAGGAAAATTGTTGAGAGTGAACGGTTTTGGACTAAGAGTGGTTTGTAAATTTTCTGATTTTACTGGCGTTGTTTGCTTTTTATCGAAGGCGTTATATTTAGGATTGTTGGAAGGATAATTCTCAGTTTTCTGTGCGGTAGTACTTGATGGTTTTATCTTTGTCGCCTCGTACTGAGCAGTGGTACTAGCAAACTTACTTTTCGTCGCTTCATATTGCGTGTTATAAGACTGCGCAGATGTGCTACTGAATTGTTTTGCTTTTGGCGTGTCGTACTGCGCATTGTAGTTCTGGGCAGCAGGGGTTACAACTTTTCTCACTTTTGGAACGTCGTAGTTATCGAAAGCCGTCGTTTGCTTAGGTTTCTGCGGGTAGTTTTCAGTCTCTTTTTGGGGTACTTGTGTGGTGCTATGGTACTGCCCATTATTATTCTGTCTGTTTGGCGGAGAATTGTATTGCTGAGTCTGTCGGAACGGAGCAGGGCTACTTGCCGTGTAGGAAGAACTTTCGGTGTCAGTGTACTGACGTTGCCTTTGACCGTTCCTGCTTCTATAGTTGGTGATTGCGGTGGAGTACTGTTCAGCATTGAGGGTTGTTGAAGTGGATCTAGTTGTAGTGGGAACGTAGCTGCTGCCAGCGAAGTTATTGGAAAAGCCAGTGTTTCTTCCAGGACTCGAACGTCTAGTTTGAGCTTCAGGGAAGTCATTTTCTTTTTGGTTATTCCCTTCACTGTTTTGGTTGTTTCTATTGTAGTCATTTGTTTGAGTATTTCTATCATAGCCGCCGTTTTGGTTTCTGTTTCTGTTGTAGTCATTATTTTGTGTGTTTTTGTTGTAATCCCCATTCTGGTTTCTGTTGTTATCATTATTTTGTACTGGCCGGCGATTTTTATTTCTCACTACTTTCCGTTTTTGTTCATAATCTCTATCCTGATTTAAGTTTATGTTATCGTCATAGTCTTCGTCCTTTTCCTTGCCATTGTTACGGTTGTTGTAGAAGTTAGAGCTGCTGGACCCTTTGAAAATATCTTTCTCGTTGTTGTAGTTTTGATTATGCTGTTTGGGTTTGGGGTTGTAGTTTCGGGGCTCTTTCCTTTGGTTAATGACGTTGCTTTGTTGTTCGCGATTTATCCTTGCATCTCCGGTTTCGGCACGTTGTAGAGAGAACGTTTCTTCATCTTCTCCGTATTTGTGGGCTTTGGATTCGAAACCTGAAACAACAAACGATTATGCTTAGGGAAAAAATGAAATTTTTTCTATTTTCCATTATCAGTATAAAAAAGACACTATTATAATATATATTCATCAATCTCTTGTAATGGTATTTGAGTATTTTGGTTGACTAATATAACAATAACTTTTGGGGGTAAAATGAACTAATTTATTATTTTTACAAATTAGTATACCTACAATTACAGAAAAATTGAGCTTAAAGGGGGATAATTATCTTCCTTACTTGCGCAAAAATCCGCCTTTGATTGTCATTTGGTTTAACTGAAGAATTTAAAACTGGTAATTTTAAAATGTCATTTGGAATGCTACAGGGTTCAGTCACAGGTTCAGTCTTCATTATTTGCAAATGTTACTGGGGTAGTGAACTCGAAACCGATGCCACCAATATTGTGAATAGATTTCATAGTTATTTTTTTTAAACTGTCTCAGAACTCGTACCATTCTATTTAAGCTGTATAGAAAATTCTCTAAGAGATCTTAGCCTTTGGGAAAATTACTTTTGGCATTCATTTCTCCGTCTTCTAACAAATATTTCTCCAAAAACTAATCTCCCTTAAAATATCTAGGTGTGATAATAGACTCAAATCTGAAATGGATCTTAAAACTATGTATGCAGAAAGCTTCGAATAATATTACACGAATTCAGATACCTTAAAAATATATTAACGTAACAACAAATGAAAATTTAATCATGTAATTGAAATTCGTCAGCTGTTTTATTATAATACGAATATTAAGTGCCACCGTATAAAAAGACAATTCTCCTTACCTAGTTTTACTTACAGTACCCGCCAGAAAAACTAATATATTATAGGTACCATTAGGTTATACAAAAATCAATGGGAAAACGTTCATTGACATATATTGCTCCTATACTGTACAATACACTTTCCCTGGAAATTAGATACTTTTCTGGTCAACTATTATTAAAAAAAATCATTCATTTTTGATGAACCGCGTTGCAAAATCAGCAGTTTGGTTGAGAATTGAAAAAAATCTTTCCTTATGATCATAGTTCAAAATTCTCAGGGACAATATGTATATTCAACAAGGCCCCATTTTATTTTATTTTATACTTTATATTATAACTTGTATAGGATTATAAATTTGTGTTGAAATTTGTTCTTTCGAAACAAGTGCTGTGGACTTATCGAACATTTGCTCATTTATGGACAAAACTTATTCTACATTTGTATTTGAATTTTGTATTTGTAAATTGGACAAATAAACCAAAGTATTGATTGATATTCAAACTGGCAGTTGAGTTGAAGCATTCTTGAAAATATGTTAGGGTGGATAAGGTATTTTGAGATTATGACCAACACCCGTGTTATGCAACACATAACGCTGAACTTCATCTAGAAATTGATCTTATTCAAAATTATGTAAGAATACTCAAACTTATTTGAACAATACCATCCGAACAGAAAGTTTCATGAGCCCAATAACGTGGGATGCGGTAATGTACGGTAATAAAAAAGTACTTCCTGTAATTCACTGAGAAAGTTATTTCACCATATTCATATTGAAATTGATATTTTAAAACACAGCTGTTGTGATCATACAAGAATAATTTACTGCGCTAATAATGGACTATTATTAACTGCCTAACAATAGCATATCGGTGGTATCGAAGGCACATTAATTATGATTGGGAGAAGCATTTTTGAATCAAAATCATTTTATTTTCGAGTACTATACTCGTATACGGCCCTGGCCCTAATAAAACCGAAATTAAGGTTGAGTATTGTCGACGACATTTTCATTATTTGACCTCATGGACATGAAAAATTTTATCGTTTCGTGGCATTCTTACGAGAAAATCCAGTTCATCACATAAATAGAAATAAACGAGTTATCTCAATATAATTCTGTAAATCGTAGAGATTTATTAATAAAGATTTTTCGGAAGGTAAAATTTTTGGATGAGCGATTAATTATTTTGTGTATTGAACATTTTTCTAGCTAAATGATAATAGAAAATATGAACAATCTGATTGTTTTCCACTGACAAAGAAACGGTATTTTGGGCTTTGTCATCTGAATCATTACATATTTTCTTATAATTTTCGCTGGATTTAACATATTTGATGATTTCCAGGAGTGGTAATGGTTATTGTTGACTTTTGCTACACCCACCCTTGTATTATTTGGGGAAGTGTCCATTCTTTAATTTACTCATTCTCAACTTCTTCAAGCAAGAGCTGGTCTTATTAGCTGATGGCTTTTTATCAGTGAAACTAATCCAAAACAAACATTGTTCCCAAACACCCAAATTGAAACACTTTTCTCTACGCTAGTTTCACCAACAAACTTGGCGTCTTCAGTAAATGAAGAGAACTGGCCTCTATTTATATCTAACAAGGTTTACTTCCAATTTCAGATACACATCAATGATTTCGGAAAGAAATTCATTTATTCCATGGCGGTTCCTACAAGGCGTTTCGACCCACTCTAAGAATTTTCTGGTCTTTGAAATCCTATATGTGCTACGTGTTCTTTGAAACGAGTTTCAATAGTTCGGTCAGTCTGACCGATATATTTTTGTCACTTCTCACAGTTTATTTCATATAACCTCGACTTATCATTTTCCAGCATAATGTTTTTAGGGTTACCTAACATTCGTTGAAGCGAGCAAGAAGCTTAAAAGGCTACTTTCACATTAACTTCTTAAAAAATGCGATCAATACGTTAACGTATCATTCCAAATGGCTCATTGTTCACTTTTATATGAATCGCTTTGTTGAAATTGATTTGAAATTTATTCATACCCAAAATCTTTAATAGAGGCCAGGTTCAGAGCTAGAAATCAGTCCACCGTAGCTTATGTTCGGTTAAACAAGCTTCGAGAATAGTGTTGTAGTTCTGGTGTTTGAGAACAGTTCTTGTTTAGGATTCATTCTTCGCCAGATATTTTACTTTTATTGAAACAAATCTTCAGAAAAACAATATGATGTTGAAGGTAAAATTTATCATCAATATCACTACCAACACATATTTTCTTATCTTTGAATGCTCATATAATTTTATCGAAAAGAAGCCACCTTGTGTATTATGTGCAAATAGAAATTACGTATTTTCTGAAGATCGCAGTTGCATGACTGCTAATTATTCATATCCTCTCCGCGACCGTCTTCAAAGAACATTGTGGCGACCTTTTGCGTCTACGACCGCTAAACTTTCACTTTTTCTGGTAGCAATTCAAACAAGACTCATCATCTCCATCTTTTTCTATCGAGATTACGTACATGAAATTATTAATTCCATCATCTGCATTTCATGCAATGTTGTTACGTTAGATCAGAGGCGTGCTAGTACTTTTATTTATCGTTAACTTATTTTATAATTTCCTAATCAACAAGTTTTAGTTTCAATAACGTTAACAGTTGATTGGAACAAATTTGGTGATAATAATGACATATAGTTATTCTGTTTGGCAACGTCTATGCAAATTTTATTAATATATTCATCGTATAGTTATTAACGAATCTAAGGTTTAATTAAGATGTTTATATTCCGGGAAATGAATTATTGCCCGAGATTATTAACACAGTGTTATATGCCCTCATAAATAAAGCCGTTTATTGTTTCCAATTCGTCCTTGTTTACACAGGTTTTACCAGTCAATATGGAAACATCAGGATACGATTGCTACGATTGCTAGCCATAGTGAGTATTACAATCATCTCTTGATGGTGCTGTCTTCATTGCAAACCATTCAGCTGTTCTGGTATGTGCGAATATAATTCTTACAGTATTACAATCATCTGATGGTGCTGTCTTGGTTGCAAACCATTCAGCTGTTCTGGTCTGTGCGAATAATATATAATTCTTACAGTATTACAATCATATCTTGATGGTGCTGTTATGGTTGCAATCATTCAGCTGTTCTGGTCTGTACTTATATAATTCCTATAGATTCATAAAAAAATTCAAGAATAATTAATTTACTGCTTGATTATTGGTTTTATNATCATTTCATAGATGTAGTTCACTCCAGCAACAAACACCTCCTATTCAGAAATAATTAAAATATTACACACGGCGAATTACCATATAGAGAATCGCCTATTACGCATTTTTCAAATTCCCCTGAGATATCTTGCTCTTTATGTATCAACTCTATTTGGATTACATTAGGTATTGCGAAAAAAAAAGAGTGATTTGTCAGAGCAATTGAAACGGGTTTTGAAATACGTTGAAGGCAAAGTCACTATTCGAGTTATTTCTGCAATCAACATTTTCTGCAATGGTGTTAAAATAGTAGAATGGAAAATCGCACTTTAGGGAGTACAGAAGCTGTGCAAGGAACTTATTTTAGACTGTTACAAAAGCAGATATAACTATTTATGGTTTACAATGTAGATAACAGTGCAGTGTGTTGCTATCAAGAAAAGAGAATCTCATATCCTGTCTCGTACGAGAAATGTTCTCCCTGAAAAATCGTGTCTTGGCAAGACTAGAGATTGCGCCATTTTGGTCAAGTCTAGACAAGGATATACCTCATTCGACAAGAAAACTCGTGGAAAAGTAACATAATGAAAATCATTTTTATTTTTCATGCTCCCTGAAAAATCGTGTCTTGACAAGACTAGAGATTGCGCCATTTTGGTCAAGTCTAGACAAGGATATACCTCATTCGACAAAAAAACTCGTGAGAAAAGTAACATAATGAAAATCAACTTTATTTTTCATGCATGTTCACAGAACAATTCAGTTTTTTAATATGGTATCAGCGCTTTCTGTTTGGCTAGCAGTATAACTCTTAGATTCACCAGGAACTTGTTTGTTTCTTTCTAGAATCTTGAATGTTTCGACAACTCCTTATTTGCATGATATAATATAATTTATAATTAAAGAAAGGACAGGTACCTTTGGCGAAGAATAAATATGAAACAATCACTGTTTCCAATCACCAGAACTACAACACTCTTCTCGACGCGCGTTTCACCAACCAAGTTGGCATCTTCAGGAGATGAAGTGGACTGATTTATAATGTTCACTGTTCGGCAATCAACGTCCCCCACAGTCTAAATACTTATAATCAGTGGAATAATGACAAGTTATTTGGGTGACCAGACTTATGAATACATTATTTGAATAAATGATGATAATATAATCATAGGCAGAAATCTAGTTCGCCTCTTTGTGTTGAGAGAACAATCAAGTTTTCAGAACTGTTTCCGCAGCAGTTTTCGATTAATGGTGTCCTATGATATATGCTGGAATTGGCCGATACTTGATGAAAATCCATAACTAACGTATTCAAAAAACACTTTATTGTTAGATTTTCACTACACACTTTTACAAAAATGCAACACGTGTTTTGCTATACAATGGCTTCTTCGGGCGTGTCTACATTCTACATATTCAGTGCTTAATATACCCAATTTTACAATTTTAAGTACCTACATTTCAAGTACCAGGTTTTACCTGAGTTTGTAATGAATTAAACTACCTGAGCTTATCCCAGTTTCCACATTTGAAAAAAATTCAGTAACGGGGAGTTATTCAGTTCTAATTGATCATTCAGTAAATTACCCTAATTCTTGAAAGTTCTCCCTGTTTGACCAATATACAGTTTTGGGCAAGAGCCACAAGTCAACTTATATACTTCTGATCTATCCGACACCGAAGTTTTGTCTCTATTGTTTTAAATAAATTTACTTAGACTATTACTCGTTCTGTAAGCTACATTTACGCATCCTTTCTTCAAAAAACGGGCAATATTATTGGTGGGTTCACCCAAATGTGACAACGTCCTATAACTGGCATTATCGCATCTTGAATTTGGTTGGACCTGGAGTCTATAATATCTACCTTATAATCGTTGTTGACTGCGATTTGTTTAATCAAACTCAGCTCTCTCTAGAAATTACTCAGACAGTGGAATATTCAATTGTCTGTGAAGTATACTATTGAATGCAGCAACTTTATGCTGGTAAGGGCGTGTGGAGGAATTAAGTATGATAATGTCCGTGTAAGATGATTTGTGGAAAATTGCCAATTCATGTTTATTGTTATTTTTCGTAATGGTTAAGTCAAGGTAATTTATTGAATTATTTACCTCCCTTTCAGTGGTGAATTTTATTGACGGGTGGATGATATTGACATATTCAACGAATTTGCCTAATTGCCTATCTGTACCAGTAAAACAAACTAAGATATCATCTACGTATCTGTACCAGTACAAGAAACGGTTAGTTAACTGATTATTATGTTATCCATGAAAATTTCAGCCAGCAAAGGCCTCATAGGGTTCCCCATTATAAGTCCTTCACTGCATGAATACAATTTTTCGAAAAACTGGAAATAACGTTGAGATAGACAAATAGTAAGTAAATCTAAAATTTCCTCTTTTATTAGCGGATTCACGTGGTTTTTGACTCATCCAGTCCAATTGTTTCAATTGGTGGAATACTGGGAAATAAATTTTGGTAATCAAACGATATTAATAATGCGTTATCAGGAAGAATTACGTTTTTAATATTATTCACTAATTGATAAGAATCATTTATACTGAATCTCGGCTTGAAATTGAACGCAAATTTTAGAATGGCATTTAGCTCGCGCGTCTCGATGTCGTCAAATCTCTTTCCTTTGAGCGCTAATTTTGGAAACATCCCAAAATCACATGATGCTATGTCGGGACTGTATGGAGGCTGGCGAATGACGAAACGGAATATAGATACTTGCTGCGCTCGACTCAAGGCGTGCAGCCGGTACAAAAAATGCGGCTATTAGGAAGTTCGTGAAGAACTACTGATTACGATCATATCCCGCAAATGACTATCAAGCGTTCTAGCCCGAATAGTTTTGGGACACACCCTGAACACTTTGTGATTTGAACATCAGTTACAAACTATATAACAGGCAACTATTTGAAAAAATGATTTGGAATAATAGTATAGAATATTTAGCAATCTTTCGACATAACTGAGGATGTCAACTCGGTCTCCAGACTTCTAAAAATCTAATAATTGAAGCATAATATCAAAACAGTGAAGAAGAGAGATTCAGTAATATTGAAAGAAACATTTCCTAGGGCAGTTAGACCTTCAATTGTCTCACAAATCTATTAGCCCAATTGGAAATCCATTGATAATTGTTCAATCTTCTAAATTGACAGGAAACCATGCATGACTAGGATATGATTGGGATCATTTATTGAAGAGGTTATTTGAGGTTAGTTTCGACCAATCAACAAAATTTTCAACCCTTAGTAAGAAAATAAAGTGAAACTATTCTTGACAATTATTTTCATCACAACAGAAAAGACGGTTTCTATATTGAAGAAAGTTCATAAAAGATTTGTAATAGTTGTATATAAACTTTGGGTGAAGAAATCCACAAACTTGATTTTCGATTGAAAACATTTCAGAATAATAGATGTGTTACAGAAACCAAAGGTGAAGACCACGTCTAATCATCTTGCAGGTGATAAAAATAGGTTTTTTTCTTCATGCCTATATGATATGGAGACTACCTTCACGGTATCAATTGCAAGAATTATAATTTTTTTGGAGATACTCATTTCTAATCTGCAACTAAAAACTGTTGTGGTTATTGTTGATTGTTGTAACTTTGGTTGTATGGCAATTCTCATACTGGAACGTACCCTTAATCTATCTGTTCATAGGAGTAGTCCTATGCTAATACTTTTTTCTTCTGTACATTTTGATAGAAGGCATGTACATGTACGAACGACAGTAGACGCTACAACATCAATCTATATAACTCTTCTTTTAAGCCTTTTCAACAAATACAGGTTTGAAACCAAAAGTGTTTCATGAAGTCTGCAGTTATACTATAAAAAATATTACTACCGAAATCACCATCATTGTCAAGGAAAACAGAAACGCAAGAATGGTTACTGGCTGAAAAAGACTAAAGTTTTTAGTCACCTCTTAATGAAGCTAGACATCATCGAGATTTTGCTTTAGAAAAAAGTATTCATGTAGCTGAATGTTTCAACTATACGTAGTAAGAATCTTGCCATATTTAAATTTCTTCTACTCACCCGATCCTAAACGGTATAAGTCAAAATTGTCGCTTGAGTAATACAAGGTCGCCGAGTCACAGTCGATGTCTTCCCAGTCTGCACAGATTTGATGGTCTTGATCAAATGCAGTGCCATTGGGACAGAGGAATCGGAAATCTTGAACCTGAAAAAAAAATGAAGTGATACAGTTACGTTACGTTTATGATTGACGACTTTATTCAGTGTCACAAAAATATAATTTGCCGGAGTGATACTCTTCTTTTATTTCAACTCATGCAATTACTTCACTTGATCACATTCCTAGCTTGTTAAATTTGAGGTGTATATTCTAAATTCTGGGTAGCATTTATACACGCTTATCAAGGCATCTAGAATATTTCCCATTGTTCTATACTCTGTTCATCTAAGCACCGGAGTGCTTCAAAACATGCAAAGTGCACATGATCTCCCAGACAAGGATCCATGTACAGAGTCGAACTGAGGAACGACCGACTTTAAAAAAAAATATGTGGCTGGGTATAGGAAAATTTTGGGATTTTAGGATAGGTAAACTACATACCTTCTATAAGTCCTCAGGATCGTATTTGCCTCATTCGCAACAATGTAATAAATCAAATAAACGATAATTTCCGTATAATGGTTTCGTCTTCGAACTTTGTCATTATGCAAAATCTTTCTTGCGAAAATGTGTAGTCCTTAGGCAATTGCTTCAGGCACAAAATAATTTTACATACAATACATTTTTTTCCTTTACAAACATTTATAAATTAATTTCAAACAGAAGTACGTATATTATGAATTCTTTTTTGAATTATTGACCATTGAATATATTCTGACGCTCATTAAAACTTCAAAATATCTGACAGTTGGTGATAGGAAAACTCCATAGGTACCGTTGAAATCCATTTTTCGATACAGTCAACATTTCTCTGACAGTACCGTGTTTGGTTCTGCTACATATATTTTCTTAGGTCTGTGGTCTGCAACTCAAGGAGAGATTTTTTTTCCAATAAGAAGAATTTAAAAACCTAGGTACTCGTAACGATTCCTTTCTTGTTGATTGTAAACTGGTCCAATAATTTATGAAAATAGGAGAAAACAAATCCCATTGTGGATACCAGTCACAAACATGTAGGTAATATACAGTGCATTCCATTTAAAACGAGCTACCCTGAATAACTTTTGGTACAATGATTTGCAGGAAAAATAAAAAACACGTCAACCATAGTATACAGGGGGACACACATTTGATGTTACTTCCCTAATCGCACCCCCAGAGCATGTCACCAATATTTTTTAAATGAATTACCTTAGGTATATTATTTCGCATTATCAGATGCTCCATGATGAACAGATTTCAACAAAGTAGAATACATTATGGTCTGAAGCTCATAGTTTGGAAGCTAAAAATTTTTCGAGTTGAAAACGAGCCACCCTGAATGAACTTCTGTATAATCTGTTACCTAAGTATAAAAGGTATTTTTGTGAACTGTACTTCAAAAAAGTCTTATTTTGCCTAGTTAAGTTTGAATTCGATATTCTCTTCGTTTTGTATATGTCTCATTCTGCAATAACGATTACCTACCAGGTGAAATTACAATTGGTGATTCTGTAGTTGTGAATTCATAAGAAGCAATGGTTTATACGCTTCGAGAACGGATTGAAATAGTTAGTTTGTACTACCAGAATGGAAATAGTGCTAGAGCTGCTGCCCGTATGTTCAAATATAATCATCCAGGAAGAAATGTACGACACACATACGTTTCGAGATTATTGAACGAATTTATGGAAACTGGATCTGTTAACAAAAAAAAACATAACCGTTCAGGAGTTGTCAATGATGAAGCTATTTGTATTGCAATTTTAGGGCACGTTGGACTATTGGAAAATTCGCAATCACTTACTAAGTTATCTCAAGAATCGGGAATCAGTCGTACAAATGTTTTCAGGATCCTTCATAAGTACAAATTTCATCCGTATAAGATTAGACTAGTTAATGAATTGAACGAAGATGATTTCTATAGACGTATCGAGTTTTGTGAAAGTCTCACTGAACGGATCAACTTGCATCAGAATTTCTTGTATAAATTTTGTTTTTCGGAAGAATGTGCGTTTAGTTTGAATGGAGAGAGGAATTGGCAAAATTGTCGATATTGGAGTGATACGAATCCACATTTATACCGTCAAGTTCATATCCAACGACCTCAAAAACTGAATGTTTGGGCAGGAATTTTAGGTGACCACATCATAGGACCTTTTTTTTATTGAAGATAATTTGACTAGTGATAAATATTTGGATATGTTGGAGAATCGAATATTAACGTGCATCAACAGGGCAATTAAGGAGGATATAAATTTATTCGAAAACGAATTAGTTTTTCAGCAGGATGGTGCATCTCCTCATTATGCAGCTCCAGTGCTACAATTGTTGGATGATCGTTTTCCTGGTCCTACAGAATGACCACCAAGGTCTCCGGATCTCACTTCTGTATGTTTATTTCTATGGGGTCATTTGAAGTCTAAAGTGTATGAGAAAGAATCAACAACATTAGAAGATTTGAGAGAGATTTGAGATTTGAGAGACATTGCAGATAAATAACTCCCGAGATTCTCAACCGTGTGGAGGTGGCAATGAAAGCTCATTTGTACTATTGTATGAAAGTGGATAGAAACGTTTTTGAACATTTACTATAGAATTTTTTTTCTTCTCAATGTCCAGTCATCAGATTTCGATTCAAGAATTAATAAAAAATCTCTTTTTCTGATTTATTGCTTGCATACTTGTCTCTAGAACGAATATTTCAAAATATGGCCTCCTGTATAATTGTTGACCTGTTTTTTATTTTTCCTGCAAATCATTGTTTCAAAAGTTATTCAGGGTGGCTCGTTTTCAAGTCAAATAATTTATAGTTCCCGAACCATAAGCTTTGGACTATATGGTTTATACTCTGTTGAAATCTGCTCATCATGGGATATTTGATAATGCGAAACAATATATGGTGATCCATTAAAAATTAATGACATGCTCTGGAAGTGCGATTGGGGAAGTAACATCAAATGTGAATATGTCAAAATGTGTCCCCCTGTGTAGTATTGTTGACATGTTTTTTTATTTTTCCTGCGAATCATTGTACCAAAAGTTATTCAGGGTGGCTCGTTTTTAATGGATTGCACTGTATTAGTCATTCCATTAGAATAATTGAACGTTTGTATCATAACTATGTACTAACAGGATTTTGAATTATTAATAACTTTTATCTTCAAACATTTTGTTTTCTGTTTGTGATAATATGTAAATAATTTTTTTTCAAGGTTTTCAATTCGTCAGCAGAAACACAGATTTTCATTGATAAAAAAAAATTCATCAGCTTAAGAAAATTGATCTATTATAAGATATATTTACGATGTTCAATGTTTTACTAAATATTTCAATCTAGAATAAATGTATATTATATGATATTTTATCACAAATGTCATACATACATATTCATACATCATCTCATAACGAACGTAAATATTTTGTCTATTGCAGATGTCTCAAGGAAACCACCATATAACAGATATTTTGCCAAATACAATGTTAACCAAGACTGGCCGATACTTAAAAAAATCCATATCAAAACATACCAATAGTTTAGTGCAAAATTTTTACTATGAAAGGTTTACAAAATCGCGACACATGTTCCTCTATACAATAACTTCCTAAGAAGGAATGATAAATTACCATCAATTAAAACAATTAGGTTACGTAATATGGTGTAAATTATAGGTTAGATTCAACTACCAGAAAATACCGGATATAATTATCAATTTGTAGGGTCAATTAATTAATGATTATTACATAGTTATTATTCTAGAAGATGCCATATAAGAATGATCATCTGGTGAAAACAAATTCAGCGAAGGTTAGTTATTCAAATCAATTTTATCGTTCATTATAGATTTTGGGAATTTCAAGTTTGAAACCTTTTTGAGATTCTTGAAAGAACAACACTAATTTCCCGTGGAATAAGGAAATTGCCTCACAGAAAACTGAATAACTTCGTTATAAATTTCAGTTTTCTTGAGCCCGAATCGATTAGGCTTCTACAAAATATCTCATAGGTCGCAATACTGAAGATTGGAGGCCCCTGTCTCTACATACTTCTTTGACATCAAATCATTTTATAATAATAAAAGATATGCTGTACGCACTTCCACATCAAAAACTCGATATTCACTGGTTAGTTTACTATAATTCCGTCCTTGGAGATTTCAATCTTCTGAATTTCACATTCTCCATTATTATGTTCACGTTCATTTTAATACTCGTGATTACGTGAAGATGATTTCTAAGGTGGAGATAAAAATAGTGCTGTACAACAAGGCCGAATTTCTTCATTAATGAATTATTCAGAATCATTTGAAGAAACAATGGTTCATTCAATACGCCGCCTCTGTGCACATTCCATCCAAGAGATGAGCCGATAAAGTACCTACTTGAAATTTTATATCCAATAATGGACACCTACATTTCTTTGTTTACCGAATGTATTGATTGATATCAATGCCAGTTCCTTTGGGAGCTTGCAGTAGGAGTGGAGTTGAAACTCAAAATATTCAAAATGAGGTGTGTAAGTATATTCATTTCAGACACTTTTTCCACAAAAGAGAAATAAATATATCAATGCAAAAAAAACACACTAAATTGTATTTTAAACGGCCAAGGGAACATATCATCAATTTTTTAACAGTGACAAAAATAAAGCAACATGGAAGGTAGTATCTGAAATTACACAATAATTTGAATGCCACAAAAACATTGTTATTGAAAATAATAATGATAATATAACAGATCCAAATGAAATAGCCAAAATATTTAACAACTACTTCAAATCATGCCCTGCCAAAATTGCTGCAACGATAAAACTCAAACAGTAACAAACAAATTCTAATGCTTCCACCAATTGATGAATGCCATGACTTGGTTTTTGAAGATTTTTCTGAAGACGAGTTCATCACTTTGGTCTACTCCAAACTAAAACATAAATAATCAAGTGGCCCAGGTGAGATTTTCCCTTTTTGCTGTTAAAGTGTGGAGAGATATAGTCTACAGTAGAAACTCTTGTTAATACAGTGAATTTATCATTTCATAGATGTATCTTTCCCAATCTACTAAAACGTGGAAAGATCACCTTAATCTTCAAAAGGAATAACGATATGGTTGAAACTCGATACCTAATACAACATTTTTCTCAGTATTTCTCTGACAGGATTCATTTAATACACGAGATTGCAATCATTCATAACATAATCATTAGGCTGTTCGTTGAGATTATTCTGTAAGAATGCATTCTTAACGTCAAGTTGATCAGTGAAAATATTGCCATGTTCAATTCTAGAAAAGCTATGTCAATTATCAAACGCCTTCGGGAGCATAGCTCTCATTATAATTGGAACCATTACGCTGGACATATCCTTTGTAATCAAGTACCCAATAGATTTTTTCCCAGTGGATTTTCTGGAAAGGTCCAAGAGTTGTTTTCTCTGATTGAATCAATTTATTCCATAGCTTTGTACATAGCTTTGTCATCTCTGGTTTCTACTTCTTCCAATTAGAACATCATCCAGGCAAAAACCCGCTTTCATAGAATAAAAAACCCCGCATTCATAGTATAAAAACATTATATTCTGGGAACTTTGGTTAAACTAATACACGAGTTCTATCCCGACAAATATGTTCTGTAGTTTTGTTTCCTTTTTTATTCGTTTCTGTAATGTCTTCCAACCATGACGTATCTTATGGAATCATCTATGTGAAAAGTTTTCTTTCCTTATACGAGCAATTGGGCAAATTTCGGATATGCGGTTGGTTACCTCGTTCACAGGCAGATGGAGCGATGACACACCTGTTGTTTGTTGTCCGCTTCAGCCTAGTTTGAGTAATGATACGCTGAAGGAATTCAATTTTCAATTTTAGAAAATCATCGACTACCTTGCACTGACGAGTGGCCAAACAGCCCGAAGCCGGTCTGCAAGTGTGTTCCAATAATTAAGAATATTTTGCGGTAGTTGTATCACCAACAGCATATGCAGGAATAACTTCAGTGAAGAATCCTGCACAGACGCCTGTCGGATGTAATCCAACGCCCTTCGTGGTATTAGCCAGGGGAGTAGTTGTTTTCTGATAGGTGTCAGTCTATTAACCTACAGTGTAGGAAGTTGTTTCTTTAGATGATTTGATTTTCAGCCAGTCTTCAAGTATGCCCACTGAATATATGTGAAAAGTATCTTATGGATCTTAAGTCGAATTTTCTGGTCACTAGCTGTTTTGGTAGGTAGAGGTAGGCTATGTATCCAAATACTTTCAACTCATTGAGATTTGGTTCTTCTCCATACCAAAGAGTAGTGAGCAGAGCATTTTCTATCGCTGTCTTTGGACTTTTAATATACAACAGCGAGAACTACTTCAACCCAAAAAGTTAGACACACCATATTCTGCTGGGGAGTACAAAAAATAGAGAATTCGAACTGAATGTCATATTTATCTGAGTAACTTTCCATGTCCATCGAAGTAAGTTTCTTTGAATCGCAGAATTTCTCGAAAATATTATGCCAACAATTTATCTTGACCAACACAACAATTTTAATTGATTCACCGACGCCATCGACAACAAGCACCTCATTAGTTATTCCACAGAATACAATTTTCGGTACTTGTTCATTTGACATATAACTTCGTGAAAGTAACTTCATACATCATACTTCAAGACCATCTCCATTTGTATCTCAAACATACACGATGTGCATCCTGCGGTTGGCAATTCAACTATCACCTTGACCAATAAACATGATGCTTTCGAGGTGAATGTCATAATTATTAATTATTTCGATTTGATTAATTCCTATGATTGAATATTTTTTCAAAGCGTTACCAAAGACGATATTTCCTTATGAGAGAGTTGGATATACTCGTAAGATTGCACTTTCAATGGTTTATGGTTTGAAACGACCAGAATTGGGTTTTATTATTCAAATGAAAAGTAGAATATAAAACCAAATATGCTTCATTTTTTGTACATCTATTTCTAAGGGTCCATCTTTCCATCTACAATGGGATAGATGGAAAAACAAAGAAACTAGAATTTGAATTTTTTTGATAGTCTAAATTGAAATGACGTGGTTTGAGATGACAACTACTCAAAAAAGTATAGAAATTAGAACCCTAGTTGGTCTACCAAATACCACTAGTTTAGAAAGCGACGTAAAGAGACTATATAAAAACCAGAATTTTTTGAAGTGAAATAATTGGCTGATGACCTCAGCAGTCGATGCCATATAAACTAAAAATGAATATGATGGATTGTGGGAAACATGAACACAAAACCAATGATAAAATTGAGCTACTTAATCTAATACTATTACTTTATAAGTCAATTTCGGTAATGATACCTTATTATAGTCACAGACCATGAAATTGAAAATATCAGAATGAATGCCAATTCTTAACTGCGAAAAAGTATCATTTGTTCATTCTGAAATATGTTTTTCTTTATATTTCAGACGATGAAGAAATTTAAAATATGGTTTCCTCAAGCAAGTACCAGTCAAGATGGATGTCGATCTTACGACTCCAACTGACCTTCCTGTAAATTTAGATCAGGAGCGAGAGCTTCTCAACTCTCCAACTCCTCATCCAATAAGTTGACCTAAAAAAAAAAGGTTTGGTGGTGCAGCCAAGGAAACGACTGAGTCGCCCCAAGAGCGGGGTACCTTATTAAACCGCCTTTCACCAAATTCTTGAACGGCCTACGCAGAATCTGTCTCAGGAGGAGGAAGAAACTCTCCATGAGCAGGTTAGCAAACGTTTGCGATCAAATGATGATTCACCAAAACCAGAGGTAAAAAAAGGTGTAGCTGACGTGCAAAAACTCTCATAGGGGAAGATTGTCGCGGGTATCAAAGTGGGAATCTTGCACCTTGACTATCCGACTACCTCATTAACGATAAAACAGCAGGGCATATACTTTGTGCCTGTCAGATGGTTAGAGTTCGGCAGAGCCGTACTCTTACCATCTGACCTAAAAGACAACTCACCATACAAACTAATCGGCTTTGTTATGAAGCTGGGTTTATTTGACCGAGTGTGAATAGGTGTGAGCCACAATAAACCCTTGCGGATTGTGGCGGAGGGTCGAATAGACCCACTCACTTTGGACCTAACCTAACTTAACCAGTCAAGATGATTGACTGGCATGAACAAATACGACAAATCACTGATAAATATGAAATTTTTTTTGAGAAAAACATATATTTTTTGAATTGAAAGGGAGGGTAATTTCAAGGAAAAATTAGTTTTTGGAAAAAAGGTTTTTGGCTTTTTACTTCTCCATATTTATACAAAAAATGTAGAAAGTTTCGGCAGGAAGGAAAAAGCAATTGATTTTGGAATATTTGTCATTTGAGCAGTCATTTTTTGAGATGAACTAGTAGTTTTGGTTCATCCTCATCTTTAAGAAGTTTTTCATTACATTTTTTTCAAATTTCAAACACCCGAAAGAGTTGAAAATCTTTGTTACCTCCATGATTGATATTGTTATATTTTATGTGAATAGGAATATTGTGTGCAAATTACGACAAGAATTGAACGTCAGGCAGCTCCCAAGCAACAAAAATACTAAAAATCTTCAATCAAAATTAAAAAGTGGACATTGAGTATTTGAAAAATGTGGAAAGCGGAAAACATAAGTTATGGCAATGACACTAATAATTAATAGTTTCAATCAGAAAGTGTGAATTGTGATATGATTCGTAATTAGTCTCCATACTGTTCGAATATAAAAACCATTTTTTGAATCGTTTGCATACTCAATGAAAGTCGTTTAGATTATTAACGTAAACAACATATTTAGAGGTCAAACTTCCATTTAAGAACTAAACATCACCAGTTTACTCGAAAATTTACATAAAAAGATTCCCACAGTGTTTGTACAACATTTCACGAACACTCTCGAGATCAATTATAGAAACAAATTCATGCTAGATCAGCTTTCCGTGAACTGTAATTAATGTATCTAATATTCAAAATATTTGAATGACGAAAACGGTAACAGTCATCCTGATTTCTGAAATCAGTGTCATGTGTGTCAGTGAAACATATTTTATTCATTATTCTTGAAACGAACGATTTCAAAAGTAAAATATTTCTGTCAATGAAAAAACACACTGTCAAAGCAATTTTTGGGTTTGTTGGCCGTTTCCTCAAAATTATTCTGCCTGACATTTCGTTTGCGGTAGATATTATCAAAGGCGATCAGGAGAAGTATTATGCACTGCAAAGGCAACTAGGGCATTGCGTCCATTAGATGTCTACCACAGTTGGAGGCGAAACGGCAGGTTCAAATCTGCAAACCACAATCAACAAACCCGAAAAATAGCTTCGACACCCGGCTATGAAAATTCGCATTCTTCGAATAACACAAAATAAACTCATCAATGTACTCACCCCAACACCAGCAACTTTAACACAAACGTGGAACATTTGGCACTGCGTATCTGCGTCTGCATAATATCCCCCTAAAATCTTATCCCTGCAGGAAAAGCCTGTTTCTGGCATGTTTTCCAGGCTGTAAGTGGGAAAAGGACGATGATTGTAGAACTGAGCTTGTGCCCAACTCAGGCATAACCCTACAAAGAAAGAAAATTATTACGCTTCATTTACTCAGATTGTTATCTGTAATGTCAATGTCTTCATTTTACTACGAAGAACACGTAATATCTATGTAACCCCTCATCCATACAGGGTGACCCAGATCAACAAGCGATATCTCCGTTATCTGTAAAGATAGAAAAATGAAACAATGGTGGTATTGAAAGACGACAGAAAGTCCAGAAAGTCGTTGTAACCATAACAGTTTATGGTCTCCAGTCACACTATTATTTATTATAGTCTCCCAGAATTTAGTCAATAGGTATTATTTACGCCACGAAAAGTGCTGCAGAAATGAAACTAAATCAGCTTGAAAATACATTGAAATGCCTTCCTGAGAACACCGTGGATATTATGCTAAACACCTTTCAAAAAACTATCCTCTTCTTTAGTATTACAAATGGCACCTCCAAAAAATTAACAGCCAAGTAATTGAGTTTTCTTGCCACCGTTGACAATGTTATGAATCACTTTTGAACTTTTGGTAATAAAGTTTCACTGAAATGAAATAGTGACCTCATCAGCAACAAAAATCATTCGTAAGCACAAAAAAGTCAGTTCTCTACAATACATCGAATGTCAGTACATCTATTACAGTACACTTGACACAGATTGAAATAGAGATTATCACTTTGCCATTGACTCCTAAAAAATATGTTGATTTGTTGTTTGTGTACTGAGATCCTCGAGGAATTCTCGTATGGCAGCTCCATTATATGTATCATGAACGTTCTCCCCTTCTTCATCTGTCATCAAAACTTTTCTGAAAGTGGAACCAAAATCAGCACCAGCTATAAGTGAAGAATATGAAATGGAAAATCTGGTATATGGTGAAATAAATCTTCATGTTTCAGTTAAGTTCAACAGAAAAACTTGAGATTAGTAAGAAATAATTAATGAAACAGGTACCACCCTCAGAAATTTTGTGTAGTGCACGGTTTGCTGCTCATAGATTTTGAATGAAAATAAGTTCTTATCGCGAGCCTCCAGGTTATGATACATAATGATCCAGATGTCATGAGGATACTGCAGTAATGGAAGCAGGTTTCATAATAATGGTGTGGTCGACATACATTACTGGTCCAATTACATTGGATGGTAGAAATTCCAAAAATTACAATGAACCATATTTTTACACTGGTACTTCAACAGGACCACATTTAGATTTCCTGCTGAACACCTTGCTTGAACTGTTACAACATGTTCCACTATCTGAACGACCAATGATGATATGGAAAATGATGTCCCTCCCCAAAATTTGCACATGGTTACCTAACATCTCGATTATTCATATGGATAGGAAGTGGACAGAAAACAGATGTTCAAAGCGTTGACAAGCCTGATAAGATTCCACTAGATTCTTTCATGGGGTTGACTAAAAGAAATTGTATAGGTTCTTCAGAATAGTGCATGCTGTATCATCACACCTATGATGACATTTGTCCGCACTAGGGAACTCATGAGACGATATGAAGCTTGTCAGCTTCAGGTTCAAACAATTTTTTCTCAGTTTTTAAAGTTTTCTGTAGGTATTTCGTGTAGATTAATAAAATTCTTGAGATATTTGTTTGGGAAATAACTGATCAGGGCATTTCGATTATAAAAATATTGCCTTTCTGGTTTTACTATGACAGAAATACTCAAGCGAAGTATATACAATTGTTGTGGGGGTGCCATTCAAATAAACATTGGGGATAGTTCCTTAGAATTTGCAATGATTACAACGATTTTGAGATGATCTCAGAAAGTCATTTTGACGTCTTTCAAGACCGCCTTTGTTTCATTGTTTTAGCTTTACAGATGACGGATATATTATAGCTTGGTAACTGAATTTTGGGACACCCTGTAAAATATTTTGACGATGCAAAGTTATTATTTTTTTACCAAAAAACATTGAAAATTATACTTTTTTAATTTTTGGTCTACTTTGATATCTCCTTCCAATATAAAGTTGAGAGGAATGTATAATTTCACTTATTGTATAAAAATTTATGACTATGATTATTTTGGGCAGAATGTGCGTTTCTTTTGAATTGAAGTAATTTTTTGTATTGCCATACATTTTGAAAATATTTTGAGTTAAACAAAATTTGCATATATGTGTATTATGCTTTTGTGTATTGTTATGTCACTTACAATATTGTGCTTGGTGGGACTAATGTCACGAGCTCTAAAATATTTACACTACAAAAAAGACTATTTGCCTAAGGCTGAGGCCGCATTATGCTTTTTCTTTCATAAAAATTATCAAAATTCATGAAAACATACTGAGAAATTTTTCAACTACTATCCGATGTCAGTGGTCAGTTTCGATAAAATTTCGTATATTGTACGTCCACACATTACCTATATGAATATACAACATTTCGCTTATGTGTTTCACCAAAACAGCGGTGACTCTTCGTGGCGCTGTGCCGAATAATGACAGAACCATCCGCAGTTGCCGCAAAAAAGTGCGCTCCAATATAAGTTCTATGTACTACAAATTTTGGCTCGGTTTTTTCCCCCTAGCAATTCTGTAACAAAGGTGTTTTTTGGCGCTCATGTATTTAAAACGTATTCGTTTGAGACTCAAATACATTCATTCTGGAGTAGAAACGATGACGTCAAGTCAACTATGATTTGAAACGCATTCATGATGATTCAAAACTAGCGTGAGGTTGGTTTTGAAACGGAATTTGACGTTACGTTACGTCAGTTGTCAGTTTCTGCTCATTTTTATTGTTATAGTTTATGAAGTGCTGTAAACATTTTGTTAAATACATTGTAAGGATGTACAAAATAAAGCTGTATACACAAATGCGATTTGAATTGAGTTTAGATAAAATTTAGATAATATTGAATTGGACATCTGACACAAATTGAACTATTCCATTATGGCGATACTCATTATTAATGAAGTCATTACGAATCGTTTTTGAATTCGCGCACGCTCGAATACGATCGAAGCCAAAAAACACCTCAAGTCGCGGTTTCAAAATTAGTCGCGGGAAAAAACCGTCAGTGGGATCGCTTCCATTAGTTTCCTTCACTCAGAAAATCAGGTGGTTAAAATCAGCAGCGGTTTAGCCGTAGTGCGGCCTGAGCCTTAAATATAATTTCCAACAAAATGAAGTATGTTATAATCATTTCAAACATAGAATTTTCATTCTTCATTTAATTAAAACCTATGAAATATTATAAGTTTAACAAAATTTGCCTATGATTATTATGCGTTTGTGTATTGTTATATCTTTTACAATATTGTACTTTGGGTATTGGGTAAATGCACTAAACAGCTCTAAAATATTTAATTGAATAAAACTGGCCGATACTTGATGAAAAGTCATATTGAAACACTAATTAATATAGTTTACTATATGATTTTCCCTATAAACTATGTTTATGCTTGAGGAAGCTATTGTATAGCGAAACACGTGTCGCGGTTTTTGTAAAATCCTTTATAGTGAAAATAATATAGTTTTTATTTATAAAATTAAAGATAATTTGCAAATGTTTCCTATGCTTTTGTGTATTCTGAAAAAAATCAGAAGTTATTACTGTGATCCATCTATTTATTATCAATATTCGAAAGCCGTTATGCTTTCATATTTTATCACAAGAGCTCCAAACTGTAATCAAAATATATCCAAACGGCCTAAGGCAAGACCCTTCTAATTTAATGAAAATACTGTCTAATTTTGAGATCATCACATTCCAACTTAGAAAGTGGTAATTAAAGATACAGCAGATCAACACCAAACGAAAAAAAATCAATTATGCAAATATTCCTAGACAGGTATGAGATCAAGTACAAGCTAAATCATCGTTAATTCACTTTCTACCAAACACAAGAACAATCCTACGCAAGCGGCTAGGTACAATACATTGTGAGAAAAGATTCTAATCAAATAATTAACGAAAGGCTGCGTTCTATGTGTGAAACTTTTTCACAAACGTCTCCTTTGATTTTGTGCACAGAATAATACTAAATCTTTGTTTCGTAATCTTACATCAGAATCGTATGTGCAGAAAATGATTAATTGATTTTATTCATTTGATTCATTTTCATTTTGTTTATGGATGTTAACTGAAATGAGTCCATAATGTTTACTTTGTTTACCTATTGGTGGGAGAAAAAATATAAGGATTACTGATGTTAATGTTGATAAAGGAATAACTGTATCAAGTAGACATTTCATGGGCGAACCTAATTGTATTTTTCTTAGGGTTTGTTAAAGTATCAAAAAATAAACGTTGAACATGAAAACAGAAACAGAGAAAGTATAGTCTATAGACATAGTCTTGAATGAAACCATTTTTTTGTGGCTGCCTTTGGAACTGTTTTAGAATTACCTCAGTGGAAAAACTATATATCCTCAATTTCTGCTTCTCTCCTCCTTTTCTTTGTTTGCAATAATAGTTGTGATTTTATTTAATGCGCATACATCGCGAAAAAACATTAACATTAGAAATATTTATCGAGAAACACTAACCTAACGATAACGCTGAAGTACTTCTGTGTGGTATCGAATTTCCCAAAAAGATTCAATTTTTTTACCTTGAAAAGTATTCTGTAAATTGATGGATGTAGCCGTTAGGTACTACGTGGTAGGAAATTATAATGAAGAAATGAGAATTGAAACTTTCTATGTTTTTTACCACTTTTATTTATAACTAACGTTACTTCAGTTTCGTCCTATAAGGACATTTTCAAACTTATAGGACGAAACTGCAGTAACACGTGAAGATGATTTCTANTGACGAAACTGCAGTAACGTTAGTTACAAATAAAAGTGGTAAAAAACATAGAAAGTTTCAGAAAAATTCTGCACAAAAAAATTATCATGAAAAACTAACTTGACATAATGAAAACGTTGAATTACAAAAAATATGTGCGGTAGGGGAAGACGCGCAAAATTTTTCGCTATGAGTGACATTTATCGATCGAAGTGGGATTCGAACCCACGACAATTCATGGAAAAACTCCCAAATTTTACATGTATTTGATTTGCATATTCTGAATCAATCCCCGTTTGAATTAGATCTGTATTTGCTAAGGCAATCGTTGATAGAAAGTGCTTGCTTTAGGAAAGAATCTATGTCTCTATAAGGCTGTTTACCCAGTGTTCACCCCGGGTTTCAGCAAAGGGGTTCATCGTCCACATCTTCCACTGCCCCCTTTCTCTTGCCAATGTTTCATTAGATTTGCTTTCGCGGTTGTCTCAACCAAGACATTGTACTTCTTTTTTCTTTCTAGGGTCAAGAGATTGGATGTACTCGTACTCCTGTCATCACCCTAGTTGCTTCTGCGATATCGTTCTATATTTTCAATGAATCCTGAAGACCATTCTGATGAGTTATAATGGTTCATTCTTTCCGGTAGCCACACCATAAAGTATCTGGCAGTGAGCCACGTCTAACGAAAGCTTCTTTCTTATTGCTCTAAGACATCAAACGTTTGGGATGAGAAAGGATAATTATAGTGTTCACTATTTTTTTCGATGGTTTTGTTGATACATTCTGATTCATCCATCGCCCTACATGGTGTTTTTCAGTAATAACTTATTGAAAGTAATCTCTTTTGTTGTCAATCGTTTTTGGAGGAGCTAACTGAGCCAATAAGACATAAATGTAGCTAGAAAGGGTATCAAATTGCTTGTATTTCCACTAAGCTATACTATATTTACAACAGAAAATATATGACAGATGTAAACGAAGGGGATGATATGGCATAATGATAATTAAACTCTTCCAGGAAATAATTTTTTCGGTAAAGTAAAACGACTAATTATTTCCATACAACCCACAGAACCCAATTATACAACAGGAAGAAAAGTATCAATATATAAGCAGAATACCATATCTCAAACTGATCTGGAAGAGATATTGCACTGATAATAATGATGATAATTTAAGCACTTACGGAAATGAACGGGCAATAACAAAGGCTGAACAAAGAAACTGGTGGACACAAATAGATTGAATCTTTACTGGGTGCCCGAACACTCATGAATCATAGGTAACGAAAAAGTTGATTTGACACGGATCATCAACTCTATATATAGGTATGATATCATAATCTATGATTAGGGAACTGGAAAAAACGCCTGGGAACATATAAGGGAAACCTACACAATGAGACCATTTGAGAAAAGAACTGATGAATTGCACCAATAAGTCTACTCTCTGTCCACTGTCCATTTATGTGGGCAAGCAAATTATGTGCAACCCAAATTATGCCAAGAAGTATATAACAAACATCCAATGAAGAACCTGTACAAACTAATACAGTGGACATGATAGTTGGTATGGGTGCCACGAAAAGATTGAAGGAAAAAATTTGCAGTATTTACCGGAATCTTGAAAAAATGTACGTCAGACGACTTCTAAACAACAGATAAATTATGCTCATACCAGTGAGCATGGCATTCAAGATTCAATGTTTGGATCCCACCTAACTGAGGGGATAGTAGTGGTAATTCAGAAATCATTTGTAGGTCGGTCGGTTGCCGGTCGGTAAGACGTGGGTGCTTTGTTCACTCACTCAAATCGGCCGCCGTGTTGGTCGATGGTTCAAGCCCCAGGCTGAACGATCGATTTTCACTTGCTATCGCCAACCCGTGTTAGGAATCACAAGTTAAAAGGTAAGACCTCGTTAATCCTTAGCTCGCACAAGTTTCGACTTCTGAGGGTTGTCGTTCGTAGAGATGCGACAGCTGGTTAACGTTAAAACAGATTTTAAACGGACTGATTTTTTTATATTTCATACTATCTTCATCAGATAATGTAAAAACTGAAAAGTTATTGATAGATGGTGTACTGTATGAAAATATTTCCTTGTGGTGTGTGATTATTTTTCAGGAACGTTGGGTGTGTGTCTCATAACTTGATAAATAAGCACATGGGCGGATTTCTGGGGGAGTAATGGGTGTAATTACCCTTTTCCTGATAGCAATATTAATCACTCATAAAAATAATTTGTAAAAATCACTATCACCGGTCATAATCCAAATAAAGCGTCTAGTTTCTTCGCCGAAAAATAGAAAAAATCTTCTATTGGCCAATCACTGAACTCACCTAAGGAAAACAAAAAACTAACACCCTTCATTGTAGCTAGTCTAATGATGACTGAAAACCATAGACCGCCGAAGATGCATCTTGAAGATGGGTTCCACAAACAGTGAAAGGATGTCCTTTGCGGGGGGCTACCGGGGAGAGGAGGGGTGTTCGCGAAGGATTTTCTGCCAGAAGATAGACTCTCGCGGATGTCTTGGCTCGTAACTCGTTAGATAATGCTTGTTTGCATGTCGGTAACTAGGTAGGATTATACAGTGGAAGTCGAGAAATGAACATATCAATCACGTTCAAGATTCTTCGACCATAATTGTAAATATCAATTGATACTTTGATGAACATTTCGAATCAAATTGCGATTTCTTGTTTGCAAGATGATTCTATTTGTTTAGTAGGTATAGATCAAATTGTACACTACATAATAGATATATTCTTTCCTCAAAAGACCGTTCCCCAAGCAGGAGTGTAACCAAAAATATTCGCCTTCTTACGACAGGTTACATAAACTAAAAAAAAACGCAACAATGGGGTCACTCTTTCTTAGAGAAGTGATCGTTTTTAAAAAATTGGTTTTCCGTCAACCAGCTATCGCTCCTCTACGAACGACAACTCAAGATGTTGAAATTAGTACGGGCTGAGGATTTACGAGGTCTTACCTTTTACCGTGCACGTTGTGTTTCAGTAGAATCCTTGAAAAGTGCGAACCTTCATGGAACTTTTAACAGTCATCATAAGGAAGTAAATCCAAAACATTTTCGTCCGTATTATCGAAAGTAAACCATGTAACTCACCTCTTAGTAAATTCTTTTGTCGAAACTATTCGAGGACTGAACACATTTTCACAAATGGCTTTCAGCCTTCTCGCTGTTCTTATGACCAAACACCGCCTACGGTGCAACTATATTTTGAGAAATTTTTTCAAATAGTTTTGACAACACCAGTTTCTATCAAATATTGAAATCTCACCCGTAGAAAGATTCAATTGGATGAGATAATTGGAAAGAGAAAATCGACAATATGTACGCATGTTAGAAAAATAATTAACATAATAATAATTTCAAGGAATCCATTTAAAAAACCAAAATATTGTTTCAAAAAATGAGACGTTACATATTTTGGGAAGACAACAGAAGAAAATTGAGTTTCTTACTTCAAGTAAACATGTTGATATTCGGAAGAATTACTTACAAAATATTTTTGAATCTGCTAGCTGCAAAGTCTAATTTTTTTTTCAAAGAACAGCCAGGGCTCTAACATGCTTGAATGAAGCTTTCAACCTCCCATCAACTTTCTTTCACTTATCTAAATTCTTGGATAGGAGAAGAGACATTGGCAAAGCGAATAGCTTCTTCATTTCATTCATTTTTCTTGTAATCTTTTCAAGGAAAAAGCACCACAGAAAAATTCTCAAGGCGATCTAAGAGCGGTGCCTGTGCGAAAATAGCGATTTGTGTTGGATCTGTTACCCAGATGAAATTTTCTGTTAGAATGACATCAATTTGAACTTCAATTATATTGGCGACCTGAATAAAACCAGTTTTCGATATATTTACATTGTGTTTACCAAAGTTGGGAGATTTGAACGTTTATACAAAAATTTTGTGTCATGCGTCAATCGCAATAATTCCGAGCAATGTTTCTTTATTTTGTGACAGTTCCAATGTATAGTATATAGTGTAGTGTATATTATAGTCAATTCGAATGACATAAAAACTAAATAGTTACCGAACGTCGTCAGTTTCTTTGGCGAAGGAAACTATTATATTGAGGAATATATTACCAGGAAAATAGTCGAAAGTTATTGGATAGTCTTTAAACCAATCGATAATTTGACTTTTTTAAATTCCTGATTTTGAGAAGACCAGTCAAAGATTACTGCCCTTCCGTATAAATCAAAGATACACCATCGTGTTGGATCGAATATATTTCAATAATGGTTTCAAAAGAAAACAGATGCGTATCTAATTTGGAAAATAGCCAGTGAACCAAATTGTTGAGACAAGTGAATTTTGAATGGTCTCGAAAATCTAGAAAGAGCAAAGTGTGGCTTGAGAATAATTCAAATCATCTAAAGGAACACTGAGTTCAAGCCAGTTTCAACTTTCTACACTGTAGGTTGATGGACTGACACCTATCAGAAAACAACTACTTCGCTGGCTAATACCATGAAGGGCGTTGAATTATATCTTCACTGAAGTTATTCCTGCATATGCTGTTGGCGATACAACTGCCGCAATAGATTTTCAATTATATTGAAACACACTTGCAGACTGGTTTCGGGCCGTTTGGCCACTCGTCAGTGCAAGGTAGTGTCTATCATCAACATAAAGTCGATGATTTCCAATAATTGAAAATCGAATTCCTTCAGAGTATCATTCCTCGAACTTGGATGAAGCGGACCTTCAGTTTAGGGAGTTGAGATTGGCCTGAACAAGTTGTTCCTTTTGATGATTTGATTTCTAGCCAGTCTTCAAGTATGTTGAGAAAATTAACGACAAATTTAAACATGTAAACAATATTATTTAACATGGCAGTAGTGACTCCAATGATGTCATTATTGTTCATCTCCACTAAACTTAGAGAAAAAAATTAATGTTGAAATGAAGCATTCATAATTCAGCACCAAACAGAGCTGTTTCCACCTGACATAGGTCTCATCGGCGTTATTGGACTAAACAAATTATTCATTATAAGTATCAGAATGTTCCTGTCTGTTCTAGTTCTGAACGTTGTTACATATTAAACTGTTAGAATTGACATGACTCTGAAATTGAGCTGTACTTCTCAGAATAAATGTCGAAGTTCTCAAGGTTTTCCTGTAATACATAGATTCAATATGACCCTCGAATGAAAGTAATTCAGTATAGCACGCAGAAGCTCAGTATCATTCGGTAATAATTATGGAGGGCAAGAGAGAATGAGTTATCACATTTTGTAAATGATACCTGATTATAACAGATTTTAAACAGATTTTCTTATGAACAAGACAAGTTTTTTAAAATTTATATTGAAATAGACAATGCTCATTTCTTACAATTCTGAAACTATCATTTCTCCCACATTTCAGAACTTCAATACTCTTCTTAACGTGCCTTTCACCAACCAAGTCAGCATCATGGGGAGGTGAATTATACCACCATTTTTTTATTGTTTTTTGGGTAACATTTGCTTTCAGTCATGTAACACCAGAATTTTCCGCTTTTCTTTCGCCTTCACGTGTCTTGGTTGAATATTCATACCTCAGTTTATGGTTTGTTTTCTCCATTATCATCCTTCACCACCTTTGAATAATTTTGTTGAATTTGAACTACTTACATTTATAAAGACTTTATGAAGTCTCGAATAATTTGAAAATGAAATGGTTTAATTTTTTATTTTATCATTTTCTTTTTGATAAACTCAATGTCCGTAACAGAAAAACATCAAGAACTAGTTTATTAGTAGGCAACCATTGAATTTTAGGGACTCAACAACTCGTCATCAACAAATTTATTACTGGTGTTATTCAAGGTGAAGATTTGATTTGAATAAATCATGATGACCAGGTGTAACATCAAAAGAAATAACCCAGCCAGTTATATGAGTCACATCTTTTTATAAAATATTATACAGCATATTTGGTATGAATACATATTTTTGCCATAGGTCAAAATGTTGTATTTAAAGTATCAACATTATTCAGGACCGGATCGAGTGTTTAGGCAGCAGGGTCGTTTCAAATCTTTTTAGGAAGTTTATACAAAAACATTTATACTCAAGCACTATACAGTTTTCGTTTAAACTGGTAATGTTTATAATCGGTTGATTAATTGTTTCACCATCTGGCCAGAGTTTTCAACTTGAGGCTGGATGAAGAACAATAGATTCCAGATTGGATTGGCGAGTCTTTCCTATACATAAAATTAATATTTGTCGGTCACAAAACATTATAGCCCGATAAGTTGCTTGAATTTATGTTATGATTTATTTAGGGACATCTTATACACACGAATACTCTTTACGGTTGACTCGCAATCGAACATAGAATGACATAAGAACATAGGGGTTGAAGAGAAGGGCCATAGGATGCAGGAAGAACTGCCCATCCACATATGTTTTATCTAGGTTTCAGTGCAATATAAGTATAACCTATCTAAGGTATGGTTCCATTACCTTGAGGCATTTCATAGAAGATCACATGAGCTCATCTTCTATAAGTGTAGCCTACCTAAAGCAAGGAACGATTACCGCAACACATATTATATAACACCATATAAGCTCATCTTGCATTTGCTCAGATGTCTTGCTATAGCAGACAAAATAGTGAAGTGTCTTGAACAACTGAAAGCACTCTGGAGGACTCGCTTTACTATACATCCGGCCAGGCTAGTGTCCAAAACAAGAGTAGATTACATTCAGAGGAGAAATATTCCTCAGATCCTGTTTTTCTACAGTTGGTTGCGCTTAAGAAAACTCTAGGGATAATTGTGGCACTTGTAAAAGTTACGTACTCATAGTATCAGAAACACAAAATAAGTTTTCAATAATAAATACAATTTCCGAATTTCCGAAATATTAATCTTTCATTCGAATGAATATGTCAGGTCAGGTCATTAAGAGTTAAAAGAATTATTACATGGGTTCCTTTTATGGCTCAGTCGATAAGATTTTTATAAAACATTTTTCAGACAATCTTATTAGTCGTTGAAGACTAATTATCGTACACTGATGATCTTCAAACATGACTCAACCTTTGAAGGAAGCACGAAGGTTCGAAATAGATGAACACTTCAATCTAGCAGACCATTATTATAATCAAATGCGGTTTTTTCTATTGGTTGGGAAAGGGATCAAAAATGTTCTTAGATAAACAATTTAGTTTCATGCCAACGTGTCGGACTTTAATAAATCCATCATCAGGGCTCTGTAATAAAATAATTTAGGTGAACAGTATATGCCAATACATATTGCAAAATTTATAAACTGCAGGTGCAGTAACCAAACATTAGTTATCCATGTCAAAAAAACGTTTAAAATATATGTGTCAGACAACATAGGTAAAAACGAAAATGAGGACTAACCAAATGAAAACACAGACATATTAAAAATGAAAACGATATCAAGGGAGAC